GTAGGTCATTTTGAGTGCGAAATACTATGTCTCCCCCCCGCCCCCCGCCCCGAAACCCTGTGGTTGAAGAGTTATGGATGCAAAATCTGTACATGTGGCTGCGCCATTATTCAAGTGGAAGAGTGATTTTTAGGGAGAGACGACATAGAACTCTGAGAATTACTGACACATTAGGCTTTTAGCTGGTGCAAGTTTAGGGACCTGGCTGATGACAGAGAATAAACTCAACCAGATGCTTAATTGTGATTGTGCTGATAAATCGTCAGCCCCACCTGAGGGTCTTGCCTTTTGCCCCGGCTCATCCAGCACACAGGTGTCCCCTTGCGACTGATCTTTTGGGGCTTAGGAAACCTATATCTGCCTGTTGTCATGGACATGCTGCTTTTCAAATGGCGGGACTCATAGAACCAATCCGAATGGCCCCATCTCCTTAGTCCCAACTGTTGAATTCCCTGCGGTTCCATCTGCCTTGGGAAATGTTAATGTTTACAGGGAAAGCCGAGAAAGCCACCAAGATTGTGTGTAGAACCAGTGTCACTCGGTTGAAATTCTTTCTGCCAGAGTCCAGCACAGTTTTACCCCGGTTGCTCCTGGAGTCACCTATCATCTCCCTACTCCTGATGTTCCTGGAGCTTTCATGGTTTAAGACTTTACAAGGTGGCTCCTCCACAGTGTCCCCGAAGACTGTCTCTGTGTTGTCCAGCTATTGGTCACGCACCCTCTTCACCGCATGTGTGGATTGCATATTGCCCCCCGCCCTCCTGGAGAGCTGGGTGGAGCCAGGGCAGGGCCGGGTTAATTCCTCTGCAGCTGCTCTCATGCCGGGCCACATGTGATCATTCATTCACGTTGACGTGCGAGGCCTAAGAGCGAGTGCTGGCGATGGTAGAGCCACCTTATTGAAATAGCATGTTAGCATTTAAACAATATTAATACTATTTGACTCATTAAATATACAAAGGCCAGTTAAAGTGCTTCCATGTGTGTGCTGTTAGTTCTGGCGGGCGACTCCTCAGATGGCTTTATGTGGTTTCAGACAACATTTTAGCACATTCTTAAAATACCCACAAAAGCCTTTATGTAAAAACTCGTAAATGTGAACCACATAAAAAAATTTTTTTTTCCTGTTTCATGTCATTATGATCAAAGTACGGCAGGTAAGAATAAATTTTCAAAAACTTGTTGAGGTCCCTCTTTAATTAATGCTTCACGCGCAGAGCACAGCCATAACTGTGTAATGGGGGGCTGTCTGTGTGCCCCTCAGTCGCCTCGCCACGGACTGCCCAGCGGTCCTGACAGCACTTGTCGGAGAGGCAGGTCTTTCTGGGCGGTTCCGAACCGGCCCTTCCTTCTTCAGCCCCTGCGCTCTCTGTCTTGGAGCCTCGGGTTGAGACTTGCCGCTCCCAGCCGCTCACGTCCCTGCAGATCCCTTTTGGTGGGTGGAATGCAAGTCCGTTCTTAAATTGTTGTGTTGGGCCATACCTGCGGAGGCCGGATTTCAGCACGTCCGCCTCAACGGGGAGCGCCCGATGGGAAGAGGGGGCAGTCACCGTGAGATCCAAGCGTCGTTTCTGTATTAAGAGTCAAATGGACTGTAAATTAGGATACTGCCCAGTGGAATACTATCCCAGCTCTTAAAAACAATTACGGAGATCATGTGGCTCCATGGAGAAGCACTAAGGGTTCCATGCCAAGTGAGGAAAACCCAACTCATTGCAGCACCATTGCAGGGTTTTTATAGTTACATAAAAATTATGCATCTGGACAAAGACTGGAAGGGAATTTGGAAAAATCAGATTTATGGGATAAGTTGATATATGGCACTGTGGGCTAATTTTTAAATTTCCTTTTTTTATAATGTTGCAATAAATTTTTTTTTACTTTGGGGGAGCAGTAACCCACATGGAGGTCAGAATTGAGGTTGCATTTTTACCTCCTTTGTGTCCAGCACTTTGAAATGTTGGGCCTGGTCAGCGTGGAGCTGAGCGAGCCAAGAAGAAGCTGCCCAGCGTGGGAGCTGGGCCATGGGAGGGACGTTGGACTGGAAACAGCCAGTTCCACCTTATAAAACATTCACGCTGCTGTTTTGTTTTTCTAGAAGAAAACAAATCTAAGGGATGAGAGCGAGTGGGGTCAACTGTAGGCCACCTGGCGCATTTGAGCTGGTCACCAGGTGGTGTTGACCAGGGCTATCAAGCCACCACTATCTCCCCTGGTTCCCTCTAGGACGGCCTGACCCGCTCTCCCCGGTCTCCCAGCACTCAGGGCATGAACCCTTGACAAGAACAACACCAGTCTCTGGTTGGGGAGGTGCAGAGGATGGGGCCGTGAGCTGTGAGGGGGCGGAAGGATGGAAATGCCCACTGGGCATCAAGCCTTCATTCCAGGATGGCCAACGGAAAGAAGGAATTATCGGCCTGTCATTTTTGCCAGCACAGGAAAAGCCACAGTTTTTTCGAGTTGTTGGTTTTTCCTTTTGATGTGGGGCTGCTCTCCCTGCAAGCCGACGAAAAGGGAAAACTGGGTGGGAGAACCCATCCGTCTGTCACCAACAGGACAGGTGTTCACAGGCCTGTGGTGGGCTGCTCCTCTCCTCCTTCAGTAGACGGGGTGCCTCCCAGTGAACTATGAGCCAAGGGAGCCACCAAAATCCAGGAGAACAAGCCAGAAAGCCTCCCGGAGGCCCTGCTGCAAGCTCACCTGAGCACGTGGCCTCCAGCTAAGACCTGACAGAGACATCTCCACATGTCCCTGTGCGTGCAGCTCCCTGCAGAGCTGGTCCCAGACCAGAGCACTTGTCTGCTTCTCTCCCATCCTAGGGAGGGAGGGTGTGCTTGTGTGTGTGTGTGTGTGTGGTGTGTTGTGTGTGTGTGTGGGTGTAAGTATGTGTGATGTTTGGGGTTAAGTTGGCATTGGTTTTAGATGAAAAAATACCAAAAAAAAAAAACACCTGCAAATTTGTCGAATTGGAACAGAGAAATAACCTTCCTGAGTGGGGTCCCTGAGGTCACCTGGGATGGTACGGAGCTCTGGGCCCCCACAGGTGTGTCTGTTTGTTCCCCTCATAGTACTACACTTGCCCTTTTCTGGGCCCAAACCCCTTCCCGCCCTCCATTGTTTTACTGACATGTAGCCTGGGGCCCGGCATCTCGAGCCCTGGCAGGCCTGCCCTCACCTGCCTCCCGTGACTTGCTGGGAGTGGCAGAGTTGTGAATTTCATTTGACAGCTTAATCACAGTGGATGGTGCGGGGATGGAGCAGTGGGGACACGATGTGGCAGCAGGTGGGCCCCAGTCTGCCTGAGGAATCCTGGTGGGCAGGACCCCTGGGCGCAGTTAGAGCAAGAGGTTACACTGAGCCCCCGCCCCTACAGCTCAGGCTGGAGGCTGTCTTCCGTGAGTGGGGCTACTTCCTTGGTCTCAGTGTCCCTGGTCACACTCAGCTGTATGTCACATACTGACCTCTGCACAAAAAGTATGAAGAATTCGCCTGTTTCTTCACCCTCTAAGTATTAACATTCACAGACGTGTTTACTCTTTTTTAAAAAAATATATATTTTATTGATTTTTTACAGAGAGGAAGGGAGAGAGATAGAGAGTTAGAAACATCGATGAGAGAGAAACATTGATCAGCTGCCTCCTGCACATCTCCCACGGGAGATGTGCCTGCAACCCAGGTACATGCCCTTGACCGGAATCGAACATGGGACCTTTCAGTCCGCAGGCCGACGCTCTATCCACTGAGCCAAACCGGTTTTGGCGACGTGTTTACTCTTAGTACTTGTTTTTATTATTAAAATTAATAGTAATCTTTGGTCAGGTATCTACTTTCCTATATTGTTTTTGTCTCTCAGCAGTCCTAAGGCCCAGTTCATACAGTGGGTGCCTGGTAGCCCCTAGTAAGTAATTTTTGGGTGGATAAGGGCATAAACGGAGCTGGTAACTGGAGGGGCTGGGGCTGGGACCCACGCCTGTCTGACCTGGGCCCACGCTTACTGCAGCCACACTGTCTGCTTGCTGTGCACATCTGAGGTCTGCTCACATCTGAGGTCTGCTCACAGCTGAGGTCTGCTCACAGCTTGACCGAACGGCAGTCTGAGGTTGCAGTCCTGCTGGGGCCCAGAATCTGCCTACCACACCATTGAACGGGGGTTAACGGGTCAGAGAGACCACAGACTTCCTGGTAAAGAACATGCTAGCCACCAGACAAGATTCAGTAGAATTTGGGGCGCTGCACATCAGCAGTGATCCATCCACCCATGCTTTCTGAACTCCTCGGTCCATACTCACAGCAGCCTGACTCCGTCCCGGCGCTGACTGCGGTCTAGCCCGGTTTCCTTTTCTCCTCTGGCCTTTTCTTTTCCTCGTGCATTTGCTCTTAATTAGGAAGTTTTCCATATTGGCTCGGGCCTGAGGAGGGAGCTCCGTCCCGTGCTTAGCCCTTCATTCCTGGTTAGTGAGTTGCAGCACGTTGTTCTGAAAGACCATAGAGGCCCTAATGGGCCTAGGCTCGGGGGGGTTCTTGGTGAAGGAAGCATTTGTTGCTCTATTTTTTTTCTCTTAATCTCCCCTATAAAGAAGCCATCACTAAAGATTGGAATATCGGATGGTGGTGATGACTCAGTAGTAATGACCCACTGAGGGTCACGTCACACACTTTGCTGGACCCTTTATCTGGAGGAATCCAAAGCTTGGAGAAGTTTGGAAAACTTGACAAAGACCACAAAGCTGGAGTCCATGGGAGAGCTCAGGCTCAGATTCATCTTGAGGACTCCTAAGCCGTGTTCTTTCTGTGACCCCCAAAGGATGCTTTACCCCCACCCCTGACCAGTGGATGTTCAGGACACATACACGAATCAGCCCTAGAACCATTGCAGGGAGGGTCCTTAATTCCAGACAGACACAGGTGAACCTTTCCGAATGACACCCCTGGGACCTGGGCTGATGGTCTGTAATTTGACAAGCTAGCATCTAATGGGCACATGGGCCTGTTTCCTGCAGGTATTTTGAAGGCGGCGTCTCATCTGTCTACCTCTGGGATCTGGATCATGGCTTTGCTGGAGTGATCCTCATAAAGAAGGCTGGAGACGGATCAAAGAAGATCAAAGGCTGCTGGGATTCCATCCACGTGGTGGAAGTGCAGGTACAGCTCCCCACAGCTGGTGGCCCAGGGCCTCGCAGACAGGTGCCACGCCCAGCAGTGCAGCCCCGTTCTCTAGCAGATGCTTCTTGAAGAGGGGGACTGTGATACCTGAACCCGTTAATTCCTAAAAGTGCCCGAAGCCATTTGGATAAAGATAAGTCAAGGTTGCAGTAGTCATTGATGGTAAAGATCCCAGAAGAACTGAATATACATGAGTGCAGATTCGGTCCCTTAAAAGCCACTTGGGGTTGGGAAAGGTAGTGTGTGGTAATGTCTTAGGAAGGGGCATGTTAGGATGACCCTGAGTTCAGGAGCCACCACAGACTCCTCGGTCGGGGGTTGTGCGTAAGGTTCTGATCTCTGTCTTGTCCCCCAGGAGAAGTCCAGTGGCCGCACCGCCCATTACAAGCTGACCTCCACGGTGATGCTGTGGCTGCAAACCAACAAATCCGGCTCTGGCACCATGAACCTTGGAGGCAGCCTTACCAGACAGGTAGAGTTGCCATGCCCACAGGTGCCAGCCTCAGAGCTGACGTACATGGGGATGGGTGAGCAGTTGTCCCCACAAGGTCCTAGGCCAGTCCCTGCCTGACACGATCTCCCCATAGGCCTTCAGTGATTCCGAGAGTCAGTCACAGGAGGTGTCCTCTTCAGGTCAGGGTGTTTCCATTCACGTGCTCCTGTGATGGTTAGGACATACCTACCTGCCGATAGCATTTTAGAATGCGTTCATTTCTTAGCTGTGATTTAGGTCATGTATGGTCTTGGTGGCAAGTGACAGAAGTAAAATTCTGACTTAAGCAAAAAATGGAAACGAGTCAGCTCACATAACTGAGCAATTCAGGTTTCATTCAGCACGCTGGGTCTGGGACGCAAATGATGCTGCCAGGACCCCATCTCTCCATGTGGTGGCTCCCGGCAGAATAGGTCTGCTATACCCCAGAAGTGTCTCACTGGCCCGCGCATGGTTGCTGGTCCAACCAGAATCCTTTCCTGAGGCCGTGGCCAGACTTGGGTTGCGTGAGTACCCTTGGTATTGTAGATGGGAAAGGAGTGTTGATTTCCTAGAGTACAGTGGAGGGGGCGATGGATGTGGGCAGGCAGCAGACATTGGACACTGGTGGGAACGTGCTTTCTGCAGAGAGAACCGAGGGACACTATTGTGTAGGTGGCATGGGCAGTCTGGAGAGTGACAGCAGAGAGTCGACCCAGATAGTTGGCAACAGGCTGCTGGGGGACAGTAACCAGGGTCCCCCAAAAGGAGAGCAAAGGCTGAAGTAAAAGCCTAAAGGGATCCAGAAGAGCGAGTGCCTACTTTAAGCATCTGAGTGGGTTTACTGGCCTCCCCCTGGTAGTGATCCGTAACTGACAAGCCCTGCAGCAAGCCTGCTCTCGGCTCAGCTTCCCACCCCAGCAGTGCGCCCAGGTGGAGCTGAAGGACAGCCACCGGATCCTCCAGTGCAGACCCGCCAGGGTAATCTTCACACTACACTCGTTGGCCTCATAAAGGAAAGATGAGTACATTTGGCCAGAGCCATCAACAGGCTACCTGAGTCACAGGATCTAGACATTGGAAGAGGTCAGAGGTCACTCCCAACCTGACAGGACACCTTCTGCTGCCCTGGGTGGGGCCAGGGAGCCCACTGCTTTGGGGGACAGCTGCTCCTCTTACATCAGCCTCCATTAAAAAAGGGGAATAGAAGAACCTGTCCACCAGAATGTGCCCAGGATTGCTTTGGCTGGCACCTTGCAAGTGTGCAGTCGGCCACACTGCCACCCACTGGCACCTCCATCCCATCTCCCAGTCCATGAACCACTGAGGGTCCAGGGATTTCCCATTCTCTTCTTGTGCAGCAAATCTTTTTTTTTTTTTTTAATGAGATTTACATCTATCCTAACTTTTTTTTTTTAATCCACTTTGCTGTGTCTATTATGTTGAAGCTTGGTTTCGCTGATCCAGGTGTTAGCTGTTCCTTCTGGCTTTGTTACTTGCACATTAACTGACTCTCTGTCTTATATTAATTAGCTCAGGGCCAAGTGCAGAGCCCTCAAGCATGGCTGCCAGAGACTTCCTTAGAGGAGGCATCAGTCCGATAATCATTTTTGTTAGGGTACTTTTTCAAGTTGACCTTATTTAGCCAGCTGTAAATCCACTGTCATTAACTGTCAAATAAATGCCCTCTGAGTGTCTGTGGTTGAACACTGTCTGCCGCCTCCCAGCTGGCTTCCTGTTTTGGTAGGACAGGTGATTGTGGGCTTGGCCATGGTTTCTCTCTCCTCGCCTTTGTCAGGTTCACCCCACGTGGGTACCACAGCCTCCTGGCCTCCTGTGCTGTGAGAAGCGGGCTTTGCTCGTTTCCCATCTCTGCTCACGAGCAGCCCCGTTGGGCAGGTTGGCTCTCGGAGAGCCTCTTGTCTCCACTTACAGCCTGGTCTAGGACCAGCCCCACATCGTTCAAGAGCTTGTCAGAAATGCAGAGATCTGGGCTCTACCCAGTCCTACCACATTGGATCTGAATGTAACAAAGTTCTCCCGGTAATTTATGTGCACATTAAAATTTTGACAAGTGCTACCCTTTTGGGTTCTGTACCCAGTTCCATTGTGGGGAGGGACGTGGTCCCCATGCCCCCAGTAAGCCGTTCGGATATCAGCAGGGTGTCCTACAATTCAACTTAATTGTGACACTCCATGGAGATAGCCTCAGAGCCCGCAGGTTAAGAGCTCAGTTCTTCAAGACTGTCCCTTCCCCACACCCCACCCCTGCCCCAGCACCTTCAGACACCAGTTGCAAGTGCAGATTGTCACCTGTGCTTCTGCTTGACTAGCTATAAATCAAAGGTTCCCAGGACACCTTCCTTGGGTTCAGTTAATTTGCTAGAGTGGCTCACAGAACTCAAGAAACCCATTTATTCACTAGATCACTGGTTTATTACAAAGGATATTAATGGATAACGAATCAGCCCCCAGATGAAGAGATACAGAGAGGAAGGTCCTGAACAAAAGCGCTTCTAGCCTAATGGAGTTCGGGGCCCAGCATGGTGACACTGGGAGCCATCTCGTTCCCATTCTGGAAGCTCTCCGGACCCCATCCTTTGTGGGTTTTTATGGAGGCTTTGTTGCACAGACATAATTGATTAGCTCATTGGCCATTGATGATTGATTCAACCTCCAACCCTTTTCCACTCCCTGGAAATTGGGGGATTGAAAGTTCCACCCCTCTTTCGTGGTTGGTTCTATGGTAGGTGTGTCTGAGTTAAGTGGAGGCTTGGACTGGAAGGGGCTGCCTCCTTGGAGCAGACATGCCTTTATGACTTCAGGTGCTACTTCAGCCATCTAAGCAGGTTTAAGACCCTGTGTAAGGACGCAGGACGGCCCCGTCGCCGGGGAGGCCTTGTGCTGTGTGGTAGGTGCTTTGTGTAAAGGGAAGAGAGAGCACAGATAAGTGACCCTTGGCCTCAGAGAGGTCAGTATCGGCTGAAAGCTAGCCTCCTTGAGAACGCCTTCAGGGGGAGCCCCTTCTGCAAGATCACCTTTCCCATTCGCCATCTAGTAGTGCCCAGCTTAATAAGGATTCCTTTAACTTCAAAAATTTATTTAGCCAGTTTGGCTCAGTGGATAGATAGTGTGTTGGCCTGCTGACTGAAGGGTCCCGGGTTCAGTTCTGGTCAAGGGCACATGACTGGGTTATGGGCTCGATTCCCGGGGGGGGGTGGGGAGGAGGGACGTGCAGGAGGCAGCTGATCAGTGATTCTCTCTCCTCATTGATGTTTCTATCTCTTCTCCCTTCCTCTCTGAAATCAATAAAAATATATATATATATAAAATTTATTTCAATAAGATAATAATTATACTTTTAATAGCCATCGATAGAAAACATATATGCCAGGAAGGATACATTTAGTAACTCTTTAAGTGAATTTATATTTTAGTCTCAAAAGCATCTTCATGTATTTGAAAAATCGTAGTGCAAGGCAAATGTGTTGTCAGCCAACCTGCCTGGGATGCTTATTGGAGCCTCCATCCAAAACCTCCACTGCCTCTGTTGTGTCACAGGGCCTGAAGCCACCACGGGTCTGGGGGGTCCCCTGCTCTGGCCGCTGGGCAGGGTTGTCCTCGTGCCATCTCAGAACCAAGGCTAGTGCTCCCTGGGGCAGACCCTATCCTTTTGCATGGAAATGGGCCCCTGTCTTCCAGGAACCGTTGACTGGGGAGGGGTGGCCGAACCCCCAGGCAGCCAGCTCTACCACAGCCTGCCCGCTCCACACCCTGCCACCTGGGCAATGGTGGAAAATCCTAAATTTGTATCCGGAGACTGTTTCCTGCATCACTTACCGCTCTGAGCTGTTTATAATTCCACCCGGTTTACAGTGACCTGGACAAATGTTTAATCCTCAGTCTTCCTAATAGCTTAAATCAGAGCTGTCAGCCCATGGCCAGGGTCTGGTTCCGGCTTGCCGTGAGCAGTGCCTCCTGCCAAGCCAAACACAAGCCTGATGAGTGGCTGTCCTCAGCACACCGGTCCGGGCCGCGGCCTTGTTTGGATTGCCTGTGCTCTTGGGCTTTAATGAGGAAATTCATGCTTCTGTCATCATCCTAACGGCCGGTCACATAACTCATCTGAGGTGCATTAAAGCTGGGGCTGGTTTCCAATGTAAGTAACTCTAAAAGGAGGGGCAGGGAAGCAGTGAGAGGGATGAGTCTAAGTTAATGATGCGCAGCTTCTGAGCAAACGGGAAATGCAGGCTGTGGGTTAGCCATGTGTCCCAGATGAGCCTTGGAGAAATGACTGTGGTTGCCTTGGATGGGAGATGAAAGGGTTCCATCACTTACCACTGATGATGAGGAGGGAATATGCACGGTCATGCAGGCTGCCTCCTTTGATAAGATTGTAAGCAAGATAGTTGTTCTTCTCTTTTAACAGATGAGGAAACTGAGGTTCAAGCGGTTAAGTGATTTTCCCATGGTGCTTTATCTGGTAGGAGGCAGTCAGGATTTTGAACCCAGATTTGTCTGCCTAGAAAAAATATATAGGCTACTTTCTACCACACTACATTTTTTGCTCCTAATCTGTCCACTGTGCTTGGCCTTCGGTTGATTGCTAGGGAAGGTTTGCACAGAAATGCATTGAGCAGTCCGCTCAATGTAGACAGGACACTGCTCTGTGGGTGCCAGTCGCATTCTGTTGGCAGCCCCAGAAATGGACACCAAGAGTGGGGCCAGAGCTGTGGGGTCCCGTGCAGGACTCCGACCTCCTGGGGAGTGTGCCTCCTCCATTGGATTCTCCTATAGGAAGTAAGTTGACCAGATGAGACCCAGTCATCACCAGGGGTAGTGAGAAGGGTTTTAAAATGTTTAGGTGAGGAGTGCTCTGTGTTGTCAAAAGATGGCTCTGCTGGCTGACACGGGTGGTTAGCAGGAGGAGGAGGCCCTTCGGGTCATCCAGGAGCATGACCAGGGCCTGGATGGGGGCAGCCTCAGGGGCGCTGGAGGGG